ATTTGGTACCCCAAAACTAGAATATACTCAAAAACTGGTACCCCAAAACTAATAGATACTCAAAAACTCATATTCAAAAGCTGATAAATATTCAAAAACTGATATTTAAAAGGTCATAAATACTCAACAATTGATAGATACTCAAAAATTGGTACCCAAAAACTAATAGATATTCAAAACCTGATACTCAAAAACTAATAGATACTAAGAAACTCATATTCAAAAGCTAATAGATACTTAAAAACTCATATTCAAAACCTAACAAATACTCAAAAATTGACAGATATTCAAAAAATGATATTTAAAAACTAACAGATGCTCAAAAACTAATAGATATTCAAAAAATGACACTCAAACTAATAGACATTCAAAAACTGGTATTAAAAAACTGATAAATATTCAAGAATTGATATTTAAAAACTAATAGAGATTCAAAAATTGATACTCAAAACCTGATAGATAATCAAAAACTGACATTTAAAAACCTCATATTTAAAATCTGATACTTAAAACCTGATATTCAAAAACTGATACTTAAAAACTAAGAGATGTTCAAAACCTAATAAATGTTCAAAAATTGGCATCCAAAACTGACAAACATTCAAAAATTGATATCCAAAATGATAAATATTCAAGCACTAATAGATATTCAAACACTAATAGATACTCAAAAACTCGTATTTAAATAACTGACAGTTTCTCACAAACCAACAGATACTCAAAAACTGATATTCAAAACCTGATACCCAAAAATTGATATTTAAAGCTGATAAAGATTCAAAAACTAATAGATATCCAAAAACTGGTATCCAAAAGTCATACTCAAAAACTAATAAATATTCAAAAACTGGTATTTAAAAACAGATTGTTACTCACAAACCAATAGATACCCCAAAACTGATATCCAATAATTGATATTCAAAACCTAATAGATACTCAAAAACTGGTATTTAAAAACTAATAAATACTCAAAAACTGATATATGCTCAAAAACTGATATTCAAAACTAATAGATATTCCCAGCCTGACGGATATTCCCAGCCTGACGGATATTTGGTGCTACAGGAGCCATCGGAGCCGGGGTATCCGCTCTATTCCCAATCCCGTTCGCCCGGAGGGCTCCGGCCGCGCTCTCCGACCGGGATCGCACTCGGATCTCCCTTCGGAGAGGGGAATTTCACATCCGGATTCCCCCCAAATTGGGTTCAACATCCACTAATTAAATAATAACAGCGGAGGGGCCGGATAGCAGGATCCCAAACTTCTCTCCTAAGCTCCAAACCAGCAGGAAAACGCAAAATTCCCTTTTTTCCCCCCTATTATTCAACAAATAAAAAATACCATCATCTAACGTTGGAATCGGACGTGTCCCCTCTGTGTTTTCCGTGTTTTCCAAAGCCCGGAAGCAGGGAATTGTTATTCCGGGGGTTAGTTCCTATTCCAGCAAGCGGCGGAACCGCCGGGCGCGAAGCATCGCGCCCGCACGTGGCTTCCGAAAACAAAAACACCAAAACCCCCGGAATTACAACAAAAAAAACCTCGCCATAACAAAACCCACTCTCTTCTTGAGAGGGAATTTCGCTTTTTTCGGCCCCAAATTGTGAAAAATAAAAAATTCCTAAAAAAGAAGGATTTTGCCACGTTTTTGAGGCATGGATTTGCATTTACAGCTTGACATCTTGCAGCTTCCTAACGAGAAAAACAGATTGAAATCCAATAATTTTGTTGCTGTAAATGTTCCTCACTCCAGAGTTTTCCCTGTTTAAAGGTAATTCCTTCCTTCCCAAGCAGCAGCTGCCGCTCTCCAAGGGAAATTTGGGAGTTTTTCCTTGGAATTCTCCACTCGGCATCCCGTTAACACAAACCGTTTCCTCGTTTCATTCTCACTCGCTGCAACTCTGGAAGCTGGAAGTGTTTTCCATGCCAACACCGGTCTATTTTCCCGGTTTTAAGCAATGGGATGAAAAGGAAAGCCGTCAAAATCTCGGGAATCGCACGGCATTGAGGATTTAAGGGATTTCCCCCCCAAAAGTAGCCTGTGTCACGGGGGGATCCGTACGAGCTCCGAGGTGGGAAAAGAGCTGGAAAAGAAACAGTGCCCTGGCGTGGATGGGGGTAAAGCTGCCTTGTTGGGAATCGTGTGGCGATGGAAAAGTGGAAGTTTGGGGGATTCAGGATGCAAAGGGGAATGTCAGGGTGTTAAGGACACCCAGGGGGGACGTGTAGGGGACAGCGGGGGGCTCAAAAGGGTGAAAATAGGGGAAAAAATTGGGAAGGAAACGGCACCGGGAGGCCCCGAGCGCGACCCCCTCCGTGCGTGGAACCGGGAATGCAAAGGGGAGCGGAAAACGGCGGAAAAGGGCCGGGAT